AGAGTAGCACTAGTGTGAAAAGCATCAAAATAATAATAATAATAATAATAATAATAATAATAATAATAATAATAATAATAATAATAATGATGATGATGATGATGATGATGATGATGATGATGATGATGATGATGATGATGATAGCTTTGTATAGCGCATAATCTTAAGAAGTTCTGAGAGCTTTACAACATTTGACACCACTTTAAAAACATATATGGGTGGCTGGATTTGTCTATTTGGGTGTCTTCAGCACATCCGCCAAGCCGCATTATGTGGCCCCTAAAATCATTGACGTCACAAGGTATCATGAGAGATAACAAAGGTGATCGGGCCCTTGGGCAATCGAAAATGCTCTCATGCGACCCACAGGATGGTCGAGTTAGGGACCCTTCTGCTATTATTAGTATTCAACTCTGACCAATCAAGGTAAAATACGTTGTATGGACGTCATTATCTTCACTTTCGCTTTCCCTTTGATGATAATTACGTCATTCTAGTTTAGCTTTCATGATGGAAATGTATACATACCTAATTTAGATGACATTTGCTTAATATGGATTCAGTTGTCGAAAGACAACTCTAGGGAAGTTTTGTTTCACTATGCATAAAGTGTCAATTTTAAGAAACGCAATACCTTTTTTATAATCGAAAAGTTTTGTAATATGGGAATAGGTGAAACGCATACACTGTAAAGAATCACAATTTGAACTTGTCAGTGATAATGAAAATGGACTGCGATCTGTGAAACATATTCCACATACGTGAAGAAAATCCCAGGGTGGACTTAAGAGCAGGCTAATTTCCATAAAAGTTCATTATTCGTTAAAGAGTTTGACACAAGTATTTGTGTTGTTGGTCAGTAAGTGTATGTGCTTCTTTGCAGGGCGTGGTGTTGGTCAGTAGGTGTAGTCAGCAAGTCCGTGTGCTGTTAAATTTGTGTTTGTCAGTTGGTATGGGTGATGCTAAGTCCAGGTGGGTATTGATAGTAGGTTTGAGTGCTCTATATGTAAATACTGATCGGAATGAGTATGTCATATTCATTAAGACTGCGTATGGGTCATTTAGAATGTGTAATAGTTAAGCATGTATAATCAACAAACTCAGGAAAGTCATAATCTTAAAGTACAAGAAATCCTTAACTGACCCCAAAATCTGACCGTTTTCGATAGTACAGGAAAAAAATTCTATGTGTGTTTCAGGTTGTGCTTTGTCCATAAATCAGTTATGTCACCATGTAGTTTGGAACAACTTTAAAGTACACGACAAAGTAGCAAAACTCATTCTTCAACGAGCGCATTACCCTAGATCCAGTGAACGTCTCAAATCTAGGGTGACAGACACAAAAACGATATTAACAAGTGACACAAAATGACATTGGCTATTTTGCTACACACTTTCTACCAATAAATATCGAAGCTACAACATGTAACAGTATGAAACAGTTCAATCGACGTCTCAAATCTAGAACGACAGAAACGAAACTAATAATACAGAGTGAAGACCCAAGCCGACATTGACTATTTTTCAGCACACCTTCTGCGACAGACAACTCACCCACTGTTGTTCAACCTATGGATTTTATTTCATATTACCATTCCCACTGACGCCAGTCATACAAATGGACTAATATCAAATTCCCACTAACGCCAGTCATACAAATGGATCAATGTTAAATTCCCACTGACGCCAGTCATACAAATGGATTAATATTAAATTCCCACTGACGCCAGTCATACAAATGGATTAATATTAAATTCCCACTGACGCCAGTCATACAAATGGACTAATGTTAAATTCCCACTGACGCCAGTCATACAAATGGACTAATATCAAATTCCCACTAACGCCAGTCATACAAATGGATCAATATTAAATTCCCACTGACGCCAGTCATACAAATGGATTAATATTAAATTCCCACTGACGCCAGTCACACAAATGGACTAATGTTAAATTCTCACTGACGCCAGTCATACAAATGGATCAATGTTAAATTCCCACTGACGCCAGTCATATAAATGGACTAATATCAAATTCCCACTAACGCCAGTCATACAAATGGATCAATATTAAATTCCCACTGACGCCAGTCATACAAATGGATTAATATTAAATTCCCACTGACGCCAGTCACACAAATGGACTAATGTTAAATTCCCACTGACGCCAGTCATACAAATGGATCAATGTTAAATTCCCACTGACGCCAGTCATACAAATGGACTAATATCAAATTCCCACTAACGCCAGTCATACAAATGGATCAATATTAAATTCCCACTGACGCCAGTCATACAAATGGATTAATATTAAATTCCCACTGACGCCAGTCACACAAATGGACTAATGTTAAATTCTCACTGACGCCAGTCATACAAATGGATCAATGTTAAATTCCCACTGACGCCAGTCATATAAATGGACTAATATCAAATTCCCACTAACGCCAGTCATACAAATGGATCAATATTAAATTCCCACTGACGCCAGTCATACAAATGGATTAATATTAAATTCCCACTGACGCCAGTCACACAAATGGACTAATGTTAAATTCCCACTGACGCCAGTCATACAAATGGATCAATGTTAAATTCCCACTGACGCCAGTCATACAAATGGACTAATATCAAATTCCCACTGACGCAAGTCATACAAATGGATCAATGTTAAATTCCCACTGACGCCAGTCATACAAATGGATTAATATTAAATTCCCACTGACGCCAGTCACACAAATGGACTAATGTTAAATTCCCTCTTACGCCAGTCATACAAATGGATTAATATTAAATTCCCACTGACGCCAGTCATACAAATGGACTAATGTTAAATTCCCACTGACCTCATAGTGCCAATATCATATTGTTGTGGACATATTTAACATTACTCTTCTCATAGATCCCATTCATACACCTAATGTTATTTCTATGGACTAATATACAACTTTCATTGTCCCAATATTTTCTTTTGATCCGACTGTACCACACTAACGTTAAACCAATGGATTAATATTAAATTCCTATTCTATGCACATGATCCCATCTCAAATGGTGGTCATAATGTTGTTTTCCTTTCTCTATATAGGGGCCCATTGGTCCGAATATTGCGTGACAGGTTAATGCTGCGGGAGTTTTCAACGATTTACTTCCCATGTCCACCACAACAACAATGCTCTGGACGTTTTTCGCATCAGCATTTCCCCTGATCGCAGTTATTTGCTTAATATTAATCCCAGAGAATCGACATTATCGTCGTCTAAATTTTCCATTAGAGGCCATCAGTTTCTCCATGACACCTTATTGTCATGCCTTACTTAAAAGTATAGATAAATTTAACATTACATATCCCTTTGAGGACATAGGAATATACTAATTTTAAACCTGTGGCAGAATGTTCATTTTCCTTACCAATATAGGATCACACTTTCCTGATAGCAGCCGAAAAGTTAAGTTCCTCTTGAAGTTATATGGTCATTTTACCTTACAGTATCCGCCATTGATATCGTTATATTTTTTACCGTATGATAATTAACTGTTTACCGCTATTTAAAAAAAAAATAAATAATGGCTAACCAAAACTTCAACCGTCTGATAACGTTACATGCATTTTAACAATGGACCTGCAAACTTTGAAATCAGATAGGAACTATTAGTTTTTTCTTCATAAATGGGCAAGGGCATATATAAATCGCATCTGCAAAGAAAATATTAAAAATAAAAAAGGCAAGACAGAATGAAGGAGAGAAAAAGAAAATGACTCAAAAAATGATGTCATTCTTTCATTAATTGTTAATGTCTGAGGTTCCTACACCACCCATAGTTATGAGCATAATCATCTTATGAAGGACCAGAATGTTACGTTGTCCCCCGTTGTATAGAGGGAACGTTAATTAGATTTGGCTGTCGTGTATCTAAAGAAAGACCTCCCTCGATTTTAATATTGCCTGGTGTGAGTGGATAGATAGAACATCAACAGAATACTGAGCAAGACTACTGAGAAGAAGAAACACAATACGAGCCTCTTAGACAAGAAACTAACAATTTTTAATCAGTATATAAGCTAATAGTGGCAAATTTAATTCAACAAATTTACGTTAACAGAATTTAATAGCAGTGTTCTATTTACATTTATTTCGTCATGATAATGAGTGTTGAAAAGAGTACAATGTTTACGTCTGATTTCATCAGCTAGCGTCGCTCCCTGTCTTGTCACACGTCTCCCCACATCCACGTGTATACGTTGATCTTCATATTCTTTATATTCTGAGCGCTTCATTTCTTTCCGGACTTCCGTATTCAGACTGTTTCCGTCTATTCCTGTGAGCTGTGTCCTTGAATAAAAAGATTGCCACTAAATCACGATATGTAACATTTTTTATGTATGTATACAATTCTCTCATTTTCTTTACTCAGAAAGCGTAAACTAACTATCCAAACAGCGCATAAATTCTGACATAATGTGACCTTAACGAATTTAGACTGTATTTCGAGTCAGTCGTTATCTCTAGTTACAAACGACTCTTGAAATATACATCCAAGTCTGACCTAATTCCATAGATCATCACTCGCTACAGAAGAGACTGACTACAAATTAACACGTGAGAGGTGCATATAAATTTCCATATCCCTGTGCATACTCTACTACGTGACTCATCAGACATGCATCCTAGTCAGTTCCACTCAGTAAGATACATTCTATCGAGTACTATTGCATAACTTTCACTAACTTCTAACTCGTAGCAATCCCTAACCTACAAGATTATTTAAGCATTACAAATTTATATATAATTACGCAATTATCGTTAACTCACAATAATCAAAATCGTCCTAATAGACAACGAAAATTGTAATTCTGATAACCTTATGAAATCATTCACATCTGAAAATTTGGATCGCATAGTCAGTCAATTCTATCAATGAACTAGTAACTGTAAAATTAAAGAAATAAATTGTATAACAGCCGTAGCATATCAACAGATTTCCATGTAATTGATAACCGCTTCGGTGGCCTAGTGGTTAGAGCGTCTGCCTCGTATGCGGGAGGTCGTGGATTGGTTCCCCGGTCGAGTCATACTAAAGACTTACACAAATGGTACTAACAGCTGCTTCGCTTAACGCTCAGCATTAAGAGGTTAGTGTTAGGACTGGTTGGCCCGGTATCAGGATAATGTGACTGGGTGTAACATCATGCTACATGTCTGCGGCATGATGACCCAGTGATGGACATCACTATAAACTTCCACACTGCAAACATCGTAGCGATATGACTGAAAAATTGTTAAAGCTACGTTAAAAATCATAATCACATAATCATATCCATGAAATTGAATAAACGATAAATAGTATGAATCCTAATTATTTGCACAAACAAGACAAATAAGATAACATTTTTTACATGAAAACTAAAATTGCGTACCTTAATGTTTTCTTTCAGAACTTGTGCATCCTAGCACTAAAGCCTGTCTTTTTTTTACAAGATAGCCACCTAGTCACTGTTACTTGTTTAACGAGAAAAGCACTATTCTTTTTTTTCCCTTGGAGCTAATCTTGTCCCTCTTGCAGGAAATAAAGAAATTCTACCAAAGATCGTCAATTTAAATTCACATCACTTCCAAGGTGTACGCCTTAATTTAAATTGACCAATCGTAATCAGCGGTTTCTAAATTTTCCCCAAGATAATTATTTCTTTCGTCAGATTTTGACAGCATAAAATCTGAGAAATACTATGCATATCAACATCCCTTTGCAAATGACTATTTGATATGGGATTCCTATCAAGCGGTTATGGTTGGTAGCTTTAATGTTTTCTTTCCCAGGTCAGCATTGCAATGCCCGGATCAATTCTCAATGAGCCGTAAATGCTGGCTTTTCAAGTGTTATACTGACCTGGAAAAAAGGTCGAAGTGACCCTTCACAAAGACCTTGCTGGCTGGACTGTAATAAAATTTTAATACAGAATAAATTCAAATTTAAAATTCCATACTTATTCGAAATTTGACACATTACACAGAACATTACATATACATATATAAGAAACATACACGACCAAGAAGCTCCACAGATAATTTTGAAACTAATAAAAAAAAAATACTGAAATATTAGTATTAAAATAATTAGTTAACAATAATATGAAACTGTTAGATACTATTTAAAAAATATGGCGCATAGCTGCACTGTATTGAATTCTGTTGTTGACAACACCTACCGTCTTCTGTAACATTAAGAATTCTACACCAAATAAACTACAGGCTCATCGCACTACATTAATTGGATCGTAACGAATGTACAGACAGTATTGCATTGTCTTTTAAATGTTTTGATAAGTTTTACCTTCTTAAATATTTGTCACCAAGATGTGATCGTAGTAACGGCAGTTGCAAGCAATTACAATGAGGTATCATACCTGTATTGAATATCATCCTTAAAGATGAAGATGGAAAAGTTAAAGACTTTCATTGTACTCCTGCAATATTTGTTTTTCATGTTAGAAAATGATGAAATAATGACAATATCTTTATGAGGTCACATTGATTTAGGTTCTTTAAGCACTGAGACAAAATAAAGGAGATATTAGATCACACTTGATCAAACAATCAGTAGTAACTTAGATGTGAGCAAGAACCGTAACATAGGTATGCATGATCCTGTCAGAGAAACGGATGCAATTACTATTCAGTTTGCATAGAGATATGTCGATACTCATATGAACGATAATAACATTAAAAAGATATTAACACGTACAATGATCAAGTTTACAATAACTTAAGATATAATTAACACAGTGAGAACCAAAGCACGAAATTGCTATCAAATTCTCAAGTCTGTAAGAAGAGACAGACTGGAACAGGAGTATGAAAGATTTTACATGCATGAAAATTTAAATGACTCGAACACTAATTTGAATAACTTTAACACTATAAAAGGATAGTAAATATGGCTTGATTAGTTTTGTTAGTTTTTTTAGGCTGACGAATAACAAACATCAAAAGGAATTCCTTTTTGCTTTTGCATGTCTTTTCAATAATTTTGCATGTGACTTTCCAGTGAGCAATATGTGTACACAACGTGACATTATCATACAACTGTTGTTGTCAACATCACAGTATAAATTGCCACAATTTTTCTTACATGTTTTGCTTTACACCCTTTCCATTCTTTGAGCTTATATTTATTTCGATTACGGAGTTTATGTGGTTCAAATATTTTTACCTAGTGGCCATCTGTAGACAGCAAGTTGGTTCTCATATTTATATAGATCCATCATTACCGTAAGAAACGAACCACAGACTAGTCGTTTTAAAATTTGACTTTAGGTATCTATACCATAATTGTATTTAAAAGGGGTTATACGAATTCACTTGTTCCCATTCTCCTTAATGAAATCCATTAAATTAACACTCATTTTAGTGCAATTTTAAATCCGTTGCTACTGTACGGTACTGTACTAGTAGAAGAAATGATTACTATGATATGTAAACGTATAACTTGTGCTGCAACAATGAAAAGTACTTAAAATCATGTTCTAGTATATACAATAATGTTATCTACTGCATGCTCCATAGCAAAGTGTTGATTTTTGTTGCAGCTTGAATTAACAGACCGTTCACTCTTTAAGAAGTGCGGTGAATTAAACTATATTGCCGGCTCCTAGATAAACCTTAAAACATTTACCAGTAACAATAGAATTAGACGAACTTCATTCGGATTGGTCATATGTAACTATCATATTTAATTTTCATGTACCCTTCACGCAATTGACAATTATAAATTCATTACTAATTTCATTCACCGATTTCCTAATCGATCAGATAGAAAACAGCAAGCAACGGCAAGCAAGGTTCGTTTTGTTTGTCACTTTTCGTTCTTTAAGAACAATTTCCTCATGCACAAGATTTATTCTGTATTTCAAATGTATCAGCACAATGTTTCATCTTTTACCAGTAATCTAAATTTATGTAGTGATGTGTCTTCTGCTGTTTGCACAGAACACGTGCCCCAGGGCACTTGGAAAACCTACTTTTCAACCTTTTTATGCAAAAGACAATTAACATTTGTATACTTATGGCACACTGACAAAATGTATTGCTTTTGATTTAAAATGGGCAATTTATTTAAATTGTTAAATTTTAAAAACTGAATTAAGTTTGACTTCAAAAGTTTTAAAATGACATTTTGAACGATTTTATCTTTCATAAAATTAACGATATAAATACATCGGAGTAAAAGTTGGCGTATTTTCTATTCCAATATTAAAAAAAATATTAAATCCTAATTTAAAATAAGAAATGTAGAATGTGTACATTTCTTTCCAAGGGAACAGCGTTTCAGACAGCATCAATCTGTTAGCATGGCAAGCTGTGTTTTTAGCCCGAGGGCAAATTCTCACTGCGGTGCCTTTGATCTAATGTTCAGCCTACTCCTGGAAATATATACATATAAAAAGGGAACGGGTGACATCTTGCAGCTAGAAACTGGAGTTTCTATTTCCTGTGTTATATAACACCCCTAATATCGATTTGTAATGTTGTAACTAACTGAAAGCCCTTCTTGTAACTATGGTTGGAAGATAGTCTGCAAATCTGAATTAGATGAGCCATATCATGGATTCTCAAGGTTGATTACACATTTTGAAATTGTACTGTAATTTCGAGTATATTCTAAGTGCAATTACATCCTCCTTACTGCACTCAAAATGAAATAAACATTTAATTCCACAGCATCTTTTTGATAATTGCAATGGAAAGGCTTCATAATTTTCCCACATTGTGATCTGAAACATTCAATGACAGAAAACAAACACGCATGCCGATGTCAACACAATTCAAAACATTAAATTGGCATACGCTGCTGGAAATCGACGCAAGTCACTTCATGTAGATAAATCCAGACCAAAATCAAACGCTTGCGTTAAATGGACAAAAATACCAAAAGGTATTCATTCCAGATCAAATGGAAAAGTTGTTGCAATGCGTATTCATCAACAATATTACTTCAAATTCTAATTTTAAGCTGAGCAAGCACCATTTTATTTCGAAACTTACGTCTAGCGCGCGACCAACTTCATATTTATCTGGGCGGAGTTATGCGCTCATTAATAATGTTGTGTAATGACCCATCAACGCTTATATATTTTGTTCGGAATACGGCGTACATTTAGTTTCTTTCAGTGTATTTTTGTTTATATATTTAAGCCTTGGGAAGAATAAGAAATGAGCATATAATAAAAAGGTTATTGTATTTGCATGGGAAATTATGAACTCGTTTTGTCGGAAGGATATACTGCATTCCCAAGGTCGTGCAATATATCCATCCGAAAAACTTGTTCATATTTTCCCATCCAAATGCAGTAACCTATAATTACAAAATACAAGTTAACCGATATATCTATTGCGGTGAACAAATGTATAATACTATTTAATCCATTCTGATGGATAACCGATATTTTATTTTTGGCGGTGTACATCTTTAAAATAGAAATTATCTGTTAGCTGCGATTTGTTTAAGAGGCCTGTTATTCTGTCCCTTTCCGTACGCCATATGGTTAGTGAAACCTGATCTGTGTATATAATCATTCCTTCATCACTGGGAGTGACATATACAGTACATATATGCCATATCAGCCATCCCATATTAGCCATAAACAAAGAAAATGGGAAAGAGGATGGTGTATTTGGGGAAAACACAACTTATGTCCGTGGTGAATATATAGAGGTGGACTATTTGTCGCGTCCTCATAAAAAGGCTGGAAAATCTAGGCAATCTTAAGTGGTCTATCAAAGTTGTGCATCATCGCGTCTATTGTGCAGCATATGTTACTGAGCGTGGGATGCAAATATACAGGCAGATTGAATGAATTCTTTTGCAGTGATGCAAGGGCTATTTCTAATGCAGTCATAAAGAAATATAGGCTATACTGATATATCAGAAAGAAATAAAGGCTGTGAATACACTCTCTCTCTATCTGTGTGTGTGTGTGTGTGTATATATATATATATATATATATATATATATATATATATATATATATATATATATATATATATATATATATATATATATATATATATATAT